TGAGCATGGTGGCGCATGCCTATAGTCCCAGCTACTCGGGAGGCTGAGGCAGGAGGATCGCTTGAGCCCAGGAGTTTGAGGTTGCTGTGAGCTAGTCTGACGCCACGACACTCACTCTAGCCCGGGCAACACAGTGAGACTCTGTCTCAAAAAAAAAAAAACACAAAACAATGTTTCAAACATGTCCATTTTAGAAATGGACAGTAGAACAGAAACCCATCAAAAAGGCAAACCATCAAGCGGAAAAGAGACAAATGTTGATGATGTAATCACACCTTGTTCACCATCAAACCATCTGCTTCAATGTACCAGATTCAAATCATCTACTTAATAAACCAATGAAAAATGAATTAATGTAATGATGAAAGACTACCCTAACTTAAGGAACCAGAACTTCCATATGTTTGTAATGATGTTTGCCTCCTATTACTTTATACGAAAGTGTTAACTATACACAAATGCTTTCCTCCATTCTTTCATTCAAAAAACATTTTCTGGGCATTTCCTAAACCCACAGCAGTAATCTAGGCACAAAAAGGAATGAAGAACAAAAAGACATAATTTCTTCCCTCCACACACTCACAATTTAGCTAAATCAATATGATATCATGCTGTGCATTACCAGTAGAGACTATCAGAGAGTTTACGTAAAGGATGCTAAGTGTTGATTTTATTCCAGATGGCTGCCCTTTTATGTTGTCATGTGGCCTGTGGCACAAGCGTCGTTGTAGGGGTACCTCCTGATTCTCAAACCCTCTCGATGAACCCTTTAATGCTATTGACTGGACGCACCTGGAAAGGAGGCATTTTTGGAGGTATGTACTTAACGCTTAAAGGCCAAATTGTAATTAACCTCAGAATCTCTCCCCTTTTACAAGTGACAAGGCCAGGTTTTGAAAAGCAACGTGGTCAAAACTTAATCAAAACTCCTATTGCATCTGTAGGCTCCAAATCAACTAGATGTGGAATGAAGGAAGACAGAAGATCCCAACACAGAATTTTCTAGTGTCCCCATACACTAACTAGGACCCCTTTTTATACTCCTGATGGCATAAGACACCAAAATTTCTAATAGGGCACAGAAAGTCCATAGGACACATTAATCTATAATTCATGTCTACACTCATAGTCCAAATTTAAACACCTGCTAAATTTGCTCCTTGACTTTGGGCATAATCATCTGCACTATAATTTCTCTATGAGACAGCTAATAACTAAGGACCCATGTTTATCTTGGAAGATTTTTTGAAAAAGTCAAAGCACTGCAAAAGGATATCTGTCAAAGCACTCTGTCTCTCAGTAACCTCAGTAATAGCAGTCTCAGGAATGCAGCACTTTTTATAAAATTTCATCTTAATCTTATTTGGAAAATATTCTCTCCAATTCTTCTCCTTACCCCTGGCTGAATCTAACAATGATATTGTGTTCTTCTCAGGCTTTAAGAGTAAAGAGTCTGTCCCCAAACTTGTGGCTGATTTTATGGCTAAGAAGTTTTCATTGGATGCATTAATAACCAATGTTTTGCCTTTTGAAAAAATAAATGAAGGATTTGACCTGCTTCGC